CACGCCGGGCTGCAGGTGCATGAAGGACTGCTTGGTCGCGCCGGGGAAGAACAGATCTGCGGGACAGAGAGAATCCAGCCTCAGAGAGCCGCAGCGGCTCACATGCCCCCCGCGGCAGGGCGGGCGGGGCTCCCCCGAAGGGCTCCCCAGAAGAAGGGTCCCAGGGAAATCTGCAGGGGAGCAACGCTGCACGGGGGACACAGTTGCACCGAGGCGCAGATGCTCCTCCTGCAAGGCCAGCCCGCACGATCGTTCGCCCTCACCCTGCCCGGGACCATCCTGAACTCGCCCAGCCCCGAGGGGGTTGGCACCCCCTAAATGTCCCGCAGGACTTCTTCCTCCAGCCCAGAGCTTTTCTGCTTTGCAGCAAGATGGGCGTCTGGTTCAGAGCCTGCCTGAGTGAAACGAGACCCACGCCGCCCACCCGGCCCCACTGAAACCTGATGGGCCAAGCTGAAATCGAAGAGCAGAGGAAGGAGCAGGAAAAACTAACCCTGGTGTCCTCTGGGGATACAAAGCAGCCGGACACATCCCCTTTGTGGAAATGAAAGGGCAGGGCGGGTATTTGCCTCCTGGCCAGTAACAAAGCCCAGCTGGGGTGTAACCGCAGGCCCAGCCCAGCACTACTGCAAGAGTGACGTCGGGTCTTTCGCCAACATCGTGTCCCCCCCCGAGCATCTTTTGGGCATTCGCCCTAAACAGGCGTTATCAAGAGCGGGACCGGCAAGAGGGCTCTGCGGGAGGCCGAGACGCAGGTTTGCTCTGCAGGCGACGCAGGGGTCAAAGGCACAGCCCCATCAAGAAGGCACGGCCTGCCCAGGGACCCTCCGGCTCCCCCCCAGCCATGCACGGCACGCGGGTGCAAGATGCCGTGGGAGGACGGCGTGACTTTGTGCTGAAGCAGCTGCTCCCACTCCCTCTGGCCTCAGCTAACCATGGGGGACACTGACCCTGCGAGGAACGGGGGAAATAAAATCCCATCCCATCTTTTACCGGCTGCATTTAGATGGTATCCAGCAAGGCCAGGCACTGAATCAAATTAAAGAAAGAAAAAAAAAAAAACAAAACCCACACCCACAAAGTTTGAGATGTTCCTGTTGACCCAGGTTATTTCCGCAGTGGGTTTTTAATTCCAGCGCACACAGTTTCCAATGCTGGTGGTTTGCTACTCAAATACAACAGGACCACGGCCCTGCCGGGTGCTGTAATCCCGACAAAAACCGCATACGAGAGCAAAAACCCAAAGTCTCCTTCCACGATCCACGCCGCGCCGGCTAGCACAGAACGCAAAAGCTCAGCAGACCCCGGAGCTCGGGGGGGACGGTGACCTGGTGACGTTACCAGGCCGGACATCACTCAGAGAGCGCAGGTGGGGACACAGCACAGGACTCTGCTCCTCCAACTCTCCTCTCCCCAGAGAACCACCACGACTGACCTGGGTCCAAGATGATTTCGGGCTCGGGGTGGGGGCTGGCCTGCAAGAAGGTGGAAGCCACCATCTTCTCCAGGGGCGTGAGGCGTGGCTTGTGGAGGGGCCCACCGGCGCGGTTCATGGGCAGGTGCTTCTTGGAGGTGATCTTTTTCTTGACGTCCAACCGCAGGTCGCGCCACTTGTGCTTGAGGTCGTCAATGGAGCGTTCGGTGTAGCCCAGGAAGTTGACGCGGCTTTGGATTTGGGTCCAGAGCTGCTTCCGCCGCACGGGGTGAGCCCGCAGGGCTTCAGACCCATACAGGGCGCTGAAATGCCGGACCACATTCCAGACCAGCGTCTCAGTCTCGTCATTGGAGAAGTTGGCCTTCCTCTTCCGGCCAGACGCTGGCATCGCCTGCGAGGCTGCGGCAGAGGTGGAAGGGGCACAATTGAACCTCGGTCCCCACTCCTCTCTGTCAGCTCCTGGGGGGAACATGGGGCTGCGGGAGCCCGAGGGAGCCGCGGAGGAGGGAGCCGAAGCAAGAGCCCCCGAGGCATCCATGGCAGGGGAGGCTTGGGCCGGGGAGGATCTAAAGAGCCGCTTCGGCACACCACGCGGCAGGGGGGCACCTCATCCCCTCGCCCCGGCTCGAGAGCACCTGGGAGGGGAGAAAAGGAAAGGGCAGCGGTGGGTGGCGGCAGCGCGGGGTGACGGCGAGGGCCCCCGGCCCTCTCCA